TATCGAGCACGGGTTACGTATACACGTGCAGCGAAAACCAGTCTAACCACCTCATGACGATCTTTCTTTCCTTTTCTTCTTGTTTCCCCTTCCCCTTCACGCTCCCTCTTCTTTTAATAAAACCTTCCTTCTCGCTCACTTCTCCTTCCTTTTTCTTCGTCTCCCTGCTTAGGCTATTCGTTTACTTGTCTCTCTCCCTCTCACTCACTCACTCACTCTCTCTCTCTCTCTCTCTCTCTCTCTCTCTCTCTCTCTCTCTCTCTCTCCGTCTCTCTCGCCCTCTTTCGTCCACTCGCTCTCCCTACCATTCCCCTCTCCTGACCGCTGCCGCGCTCCAGACGTTTCTTTCGCTGATTTCGATGTTGTGAGTGCTGTTTCTCGTTCTTTCTACCTGTGGCTCCCTTATACTCCCTCTTTGCCAGACTCCTCAAACTGTCTATTCTCTTATTCCTTCTATTATGACGATCGGTCCTTTTTACGTGCTTACTTGCTCCCACTTTTAACTTCGGGACGTTGTGATATGCACCTCCTTGATTTTTGTTAAGTCTTCAGAACTGTCTAGCTTTAAACGTTAATTTTCTCACAATGCTTTCTTACCGAACCTCTTTTTCGTTATTTCGCTGCTATCCCCATCACCCCACACCCCGCCACTCGTTCAATCTTACTTCAAAAATCTTCAAGATCCTATCATTGATACGTTGTTCTACGCTTTCTAATCTATCGTGTGATCTTTAAAACTTTTACGTAACAAATATAAATATTATTAGCTTTAATTTGTATGAATTTAAAAGAATTTATTTTGGAATTATAAATAAACAGATAAGAATATATTATTAATTTCGAATGCAATTTAATTCTTATTAATTATTAACAAAATGATTTTTTTTATTCCAATATTATCTGAATACTTATTAAAAGTAATGATGAAATATATAGAGATCTATTCATTATTATATTTAAGTAAATAAAGGGGTGATATTTTTTATTCAATTTCATACGGTAACAACATACTATACTCTCAAATAAATAATAACAATAATATATTAAATTCTTGTTTACAGAAACAGAGTTTTTAATTGAAAAAACTTAAGGCAACTGGACGATCGATGTACATTTGATTTATTATTAATTATTTTAAAATTATTATTATTATTATTTATTATTAAATTAACGTTGAACATATTTTCTAATTCCGGATACATTTCTTTTTTATATTTTATTAGGTCTCACAATTCTATAGATGATAAAGGTTAAGTAAAAAAAAAAATTACAAATACTGTCCAAAATATTTAAAAAAAAAAGCAAAATAATAAAAAATAATAAATAAAAAGGAAGAATAATAAAATCTTATAAATAGTAAAAATGCTATAAATTTATTTATAAAATCATGGTAGTGCTCGTTTAGACAACGATAATATGAAATAAATATGTGTCCTCGTCAGCGCCAAGACCTTAACGACTTCATAAGAATGGTTAATGTGCTAAAATATTCAAAATTAAATGTGAAAAACGTGTTTTCCTTCTATCCCGATCTAAAAGTCGCCTGTGCCGACGAAAATCTGTAGTAGGCTTGACTGCATTTCCATCTACAATACTTTCTCTCCCTCTCCTGTTCCCTTTGCCGCTCCAACGTTTGCCTGCTACCATATACTTGTAGCTCTCAAGACGAGTCCCAAGTCCCATTTGTAAAATCCTCTCTAACCATATCTCTCCTGCCTCTGTCTGTCTCTTTCTCTCTCTCTCTCTCTCTCTCTCTCTCGGACGCTCGCGCGCAAGCACGCAATTCCTCTCGCTCACTCTCCCTTCGATTCGAGTGTACATCTCTCTCTACCTCCTCCCCATTCGCCGCCGATCATCGTATTCTCGTTGCACTCGCGAAGGCCCGCCGAGGCCAGAGTCCAGTCCTCTTTGTTGCAGAGCGCTCGCTAGGCGTTGGGCTCGCCTGCGGAGGGGGTGGGATTGGCGGGTGGGGCGGGGCGACGGGGTGGATGGCAGTGCTGGAGGTGGTGGGGGCCCATGAGCGAGCTAGCGCGCGCGCGTGTGTTTGCGTGGCGGGGGAGGGGCGAGCGGGGGTCAATAAGCGCGGGGCCCGTGCGATAACGGGGCCTATTCTGTCGTAACTCAAGGCGGAGTGTGCAGCGGCTGTAGCAGACTTCGCATTAGATACGCAGCGCGTAACGCGCTTTGGGCACACTTGCTCCCCGTTGAGTGGCGAAACGGAGAGAGGGAACGCGTGTAGACGAGAGACAGAGACAGAGAGAAAGAGAGAGAGAGAGAGAGAGAGAGAGAGAGAGAGAGAGAGAGAGAGTGAGAAGAGCGAGAGAGGGGGTTGAGAGGGGAGGGGAAGAGAGATGCACATGTGGGCTACACACGGGATGCTCATTATAGTGCAGCGGCAGTCATGGGCGAAAAGTATATCTTTTAGAGACGATGCAGATGTGGGACGAGGAGTAGTTTTTATTTTAATGTAAATAAATCTGAAACTGTTTTTAGCAAAAATCCTTTTATCCTCTTTTTTCCCAATACATGTTTGCAAATATATGCAAGAGTAGGCCAATGCCTTACTTGTAAACACAAGCATTAGTTCATACTTTGGTTACGGTAACGTAAGCTCTTAAAATAATTTTTGTGCGTATTCTATGTAATTATGACCGACGTATTATTACAGTTGAAAAAGTACATTTGGCTTTGTTATCATATATATTTTTATAAAGGAGTACATTTCCATCGCGTTGCATATTCAAGTATTCAAAGGCTGATGTACGAACGAGCTGTAATACACATTGGCTGCTTGATGCATATGCGTGTGCTGCGTTGAGAGTATAGAAAGAGATGGATGAATTCTTACAGTGGTTAGAGAAGATAGGGAAAAAAAGAATAAAATACGGAGTCGTTAAGATAGACTCGTCGAGAGAGAGAGAGAGAGAGAGAGAGAGATATGAGAGAAACGCCCATTCGGTACTCGAGTCTATGATTATTGTGATATTGATGAGGGACTACTAGTAACACTAGTGTTAAGTGGAAGGAGCTCTCCTTCAAAAAAGTATCACCCGGATGGAAAATTGTTTTACCGCGTCGTGGTTTCCACGGAGTCAAGAGCGCGTTAGTTAATAAGTTATAGGAGGGGCCGAGAACAACTATAAAAAACTTTACTCGTGTGCGGTTCACCTGATTTTCCATCGCGCTCTTAGAAAGGTTTTACCGGGAAACGAATTAGCGCGGAAATTCGTGTGCTCGCCTATTTATTATTTTTTACCGTAAGGGGTAAATTTTTTTTTTTTTTTTTTTTTTTTTTTTCACGCGTATTGTCAGCTGATTAAAATTTAAGCTAAATATGTTTGCACGAATTAAAAATAACAAAGCACTTGCTATATTTATTTTAGACATGGACAGCTTACATTAGAATTTGTTTATTAATTTGTTTTATTGTTGTTGTTGTTGTTGTCATCGTTGTTATCATCGTTGTTTGTTGTTGTTGTTTATGTTATATTTATTGGTACTCGTATTACGAATTTAAACGATTTTCATCGTTAATCTTAAATTTATTTATTTAATATATTATATTCTAATGTTTTTCGTAACACATCATTACATTTTGAGATAATTTTGTCCGATATAAGCATTTTAATGACATGCTCGATGAAATATTTACTATTACCAATGTTAATATATCAGATTTTTTTCTTCTTCTTTTTTTTTATAAATATTTTATAGTATTCCAGTATCACAACTTTCCGAGTTTCAGAAACACTCGTACTTTTATATTGACTATTGTGATATACGACCGTAAAAATTCAATTTCATTATGCGACTCGTCATTGTATGCAAAACGCCTGTTTGGATTTAGTGGATAATATTAGTTCAGAAGGTGGACTCGTCATTGACGCAATAGATAATTATGCGTAAAACTAATATTATATATATATATATATGACTAGTCGTAATATTACAAAATCAGCGAATAATTATCAGAAAGAAAAACAACAATAATAATAAAAATTAAAAATAAAAAAAATAAATAAATAATGAAAAAAAAATAATAAAAGTAAGAAAGAAATGAATTACGATTACATTCAATTAACAATAGTAATGAATATATAATAGTATAATATATAATATGAAAATAATGCAATATATCATTGCACGTGAGCTCGTAGACATCTAAGCCAGTCATATTAATTGTAATTGTAACAATAAGTAAAAATAATTGACTTCATTGTAGAAATCAATGAGCCTCACACGTGACATTATTGCAATGACCGATATAAGCAATTAGTAATTAGTATTTAAGTAAAGAAAGTATCGATAAGAATATGAAAGGCATAAACTTTAGGCATCATCCGCTTAATAAATCCAGGAATCATCGTCACTCCAACCTACATTACTCTCTTATTCATTCAAAATTATTTGGCTCATTTAAAAATTCACGAGCGATTTACGACACCTCTTCTTCGTCCCACTCGAACTGCAGCCGTAAATTTTACAATCTCTCCCGTTATCACGTGGCCCCGGCACCTCGCCGCCGCTCCCTCGCCACACTTATTCCATAACAAGACGATCCGGCACGAGCGCACTTTGCCACATCGTATCTTTTTTCTTTTCTCGTTGTAAATACGGCCGGTGCGTAGGAAAGCTCGAGACTCGCGTACATTCGCTCATACAATAAAAAATTGGTAATACGCCGCGACCCGACGACACCCGGGACGCGTAACAGCCGGTCAGGAGATTTTTCTCTCGCGATCCTCGACAGTTGACGAGCATTGACGCGCATGCGCCACCGAATCATTCGCGCGCTCTATTCCATGAAAAGTTGCGCGCGAACGCGCAGGCGCAACTTGTAACGGACTTTGGAAATCGAAGAAATACGAGTTTTCGGTTATCGACGAATTATTGCGTCTCGCGATTGCTCTGCCTTTTTTTTTTCTCGGCTTCATACAGTTTATTGTTTTCGGTTTTTTTCTTTTCTTTATTATTTTTTTTTTTTCATTGTTTTTCTTTTATCCGATCAACGATGTGTTATATTATTTGTCTGGATAAAGGAGAAAGATGTATGGAATATTTATAAATCGGTATTGCCAATGGATTATTTGTGACGGCTACGTAGGCAGACAAGTGTTTATATTCGGGGAGGACGCTTTCTTGGAAATTGAGAATGGATTTTACAACAAAAATGTGTTACGCCATACAAGTATTATTGCATTTGTACTAAATATTTTTATATTAAATGAAATTTTTTTTGTAAATATAACAGGCACATAATTGTTATTTCATTGCCTTGCTTATAATAAATTTCATTTTATTATTAAGTATTATAAAGGCCATTTATTGAAGTCGATCTAGCGTGGTAGTGAAACAATTTTTAAATATCGATAAAAATTCAACTATCAGGAATCACTTCGTTAAGCATACATTATTAATTATATAATGTTGCTAATAATACGCATTTTTTTTAACTATAAATTTAAATCGTTTTTCTTGCAGCATTTATTTTTAATTGTATTCAACGCATAATTTCAACTCTCGTATTATATACATGTTTTTTTTTTTTATGTATATTAATAAATAATACTTACAATTATTTATATCGGTAGAAAAACATAATGGGCTTGCCGACATACTTATTAAATTGTATATTTTAAATCCAATTTAAATCCAATCGTTTCGTACTAAATTGTCGGGCTCGTTAAGAATGTCCAAGCTAATTAATTTAATTAAATATTTTGGAAATTTATGAATAAGCCAATTATCAAGTAGTTACGAGAGTAACAAATTCGCATTACCGCTTGTTTAATAATAATAGATATTCTTTACAATTTTTGTTTACAGATATTTCTATTAATATTACAAATAATTGTAAATATCTTTTACGTTTTTATCATTTATTTCCTACAATAATTGAAATTTCATTATTTACAAATTTTTTTTTATACCGTACTTATAATTTATATACACACACACACACACACACACACACACACACACATATATATATATACATACATGTATACATTTTATTTCAGAGTGAGCAGTAATTTGTAATAACATATTCATTTACATATTTATTAGTATAAAATACTTATTTAATTGTATATTTCGTAATGTTTTGAAAAGTCACTATAATAACCTACATAGACATCAATGCCTCTTAAATAATACGAGAACGTTTATTAGAGGCAGTGAAGTGCAATATAATAATACATTAGTTCGGTATTACAAAACTTATTTCACTACGTTTTTTCGTTAATAGCACTTTGTTTTCACGATCACCTGCCAAATCTTAGCCGGCAGTTATGAGCTAAACTGCTTTTTTTAATGCTCATGCAAACGTCCATTCGCTTTCCTTGAAAAAATAATAATAACAATTCAGTTAAATAAAGAGACTGTTCAGTGCAATCATATCGACAAGTGCCACAAAAAGGCTTTAAAAATGCCAGAGCATTTATAATTATAAACGAACGAAATGTAGGTTAAATCCTTTGCGCGCTGCCCATCTGAGTGTCAAAAAAAAAAAAAAAAAAAAAAAAAAAACTAACCAGACGAGCAGCAACAAAAATGGAGGCAAATGGGTCTCCTGCTTACGCGATAATTATCGGCAAATAAATCACGAAAGCCATATAATTGTTTAGAATTGTGCGAAATTACCGTGGCGAGGAGGAAGCTTTTTACACCTCTGCCGTGGTCGCCGAAAGAGTCAACGGGTCGGCAACTACCGTGATAACGAGCGCCCTTAACGATCCTTCCGTTATGGACCCTGCACCGTTCGTGACAGTGCCCTGTCTTTTTTCTTTTTGGTTTATTTAAAGACTCGGCGTCAGCGGCTTGTAAATCCATAGTGCATGTACGGCACGAGGATTCAAGTTAATTTATCCGGGTGCACATAGAAATTTACAAGTCCACCTCTTCCCCCCTCCCCTACCCCTCCCACCAACAATATCCGACACACGGATAACCAGAGAGATAGCTAGACAATTTGAAAGACATATAGATAGATAGATAAGTAAATAGATAAATAAATATATATATATATATATATATATATATGTATGGATAGGTGCGCGCAACAATGTGCAGAATCATTATGAAATATTTGTTCACGAGATGGGGCGTCAGACAACCACATATTACTATTTGTTTCAAAACAGTGTTGTTTTGTTGTGCAGGAGCGGCTAAACAGCCCAATTTTTTATTTATTTTATTTTTGTTTCTGTTATGACTAGTGTTGGTATATATATATATATTTACCATTAGTGTTAATATCGAATACTTACTTTCTTTGATAAATGCGCGACAATGAGGAACACAGGTTTAATACAGAAAATTAACCAATGTTATTATTGTGTCTCATCGAAAGAATTTAGTATTTGAAAGATCGGTCTTTGATCTTAGCAGAGTTTATTGTTAACTGCGCATCAATCATTGATGTACCTAGTGAATCAAATTCGATCTTTCAATTTTAAATAATGGTATTGTTTTATTTTATACGTAATTGTGTCGAATATTAATGATTTATTTTAAAAGTTGGCACTTTCATCTGTAATAAACGTGTCTTATGCAATTTAAATTGAAATACTAAGTTATTGGTATTATATAAATAACTGAATTAATGTATTTTCATTTCTCCTATATATAGAATAAATTTCGCAATTATTTTGATTTTATAAAAGTTACGAGAGTATATATCGAGCTTAGATTAATAACATGCATTTAGAATCCGTCATTAGCTGCATAACTGTTTAATGCGATAGTCAACTTTTGAGATAAAAAAGCGAAATACAGAATATTTATAATATATATATATATAAGACGAATAAATTATGTGATCCAATAAGTGTATTGTACCCTATAAGTTACCTAAACATTGGGCACGATCAATTTATCAAAAGTCTTATTGGTAGATGTCAAGATTTAATATCATTGTCATACATTGGTTGTTTCGTATCCCTTTTCATATTCGTCAATTACATCGCTATCGCTTATTAATGAGAAACTCGTGAGAGCCGATGGTTTGATAAAACATTGTTTATGACAAAATACGCGAATGTTGACTGATTTTTAAGACTGATTTTACTACCATATGAGACGGCGATCGTACATTACTGCAATTGTGTTCCTGTTACGAGTGCTTGAAAAATTGTTACCCATACTTATAACTTGGCTCATTGTTAAATGCAAGTAAGTAGCTTGCAAAGTCACAAAGTCATAATTTTTTTTTACTTCTTTATGGAGGAGCTTTTGAATTTCCATGGTACGAACTAGAAAGTATCATGGTTATCCCGGTGTATTATGAGTGATTGATCGAGGAATATTAGTCTTACACAAAATAATCAATTAGTCGTACTTACGCTGCTGTAAAAAGAAGTTTACTACATCGTAAAAAGGGAGAAGACGATGGTGGGTATTAAGCTTTTTACACACTTTCATGAAAAATAATCTCGTGAAATTAGTTGTTTTATTCCTCGAAAAGGACAAGTGCCGCTAAGATCGTATTACTTACACAAGAGCAAATACGTAAGCAAAAACTAACTGTTAAAATTAATAACACGATGCTTTTACAAAGAAATTATTGTAATATTATTTACTCTGACACAGTTACGAAGTGCAATTTTACAATTTTATGTCGTTTACATTTATACAAAAATATTTACAAACTCTGGTTTTAAGTTACTCCTCCAAGTATATTATTACACTTCATCGACGATCTTTCAGTAATTCGTTAATTTCCGAAAGAAGATTAAAAAAGACAAAACACATTCTTAAGGAGCTCTATGAATTAAATAAATGACTTGTAGAAATTTTGCTAATTACGATATGCTCGATTATTATTGCAAATATTTTTAAAATTCCTGTAAAATATGATATATGTATATGTATATGTATATGTATATATATAAATATATATATATATATATATATATATATTTTTAATAAAGCTTCTATAAATATTGTTACTATTAAATGGATAATAGTAATCGGTTAATCAATTCAATACCATCGAATACATTTATTTCAATAAACTGTTATAATTTTTCTGCCATAACTGACGTAAAAAAATCTAAAAATAACAATAATACTAGTTAATGCAATACCGAACAAAGATAAAAATATCTCAACCCCTCAACATCTCGACCTTTTTAACTCCCTAAATAGTCTCTTCCCATTAAACGACTGCATAAAAATACGAGCGCATGAAAGTAAACAGATTGCCATACTCGCGACGAATGAAAGCAGAACAAATAAGCTGATCAAGATGATTTGAAGAATCGCGGGGTAATAAAGAACAGAAAAATCAGTCGTAATGTAATCGACGATAAATTTCTCTTGCGCAATCGAATGATTTATGCAAGCGGCGATTTTTGTGCATCGCAAGAAGCGATTGCACTTCTCAGCTTAGTCCGCGAGCAGCGCGTAGGTGAGCCACTCCTGGCGGCGCAAAAACGTCCCAAGGATAATAATGACACGGCGCGCTTACTTGTTCTTTATCAGGGGGAAAGGAAGGTGCCGAGCGATTCACCTTGTGCGCGCGCGCAAGAGGCCAACCTAGAAAAACGGGACGTCGTCCGACGCGTGGTTAGTGGCGTGTCTCTCTCGCTCTTGGAAATCGCGCTTACGACTGATAAAGGGATTGGCCTAACGTTCGCTGCTTCTCGACTGGATCCTCAGGCCGACGCTCCTTGACCGACCAACATTGGACAGGTTAAGCCGATCCCAATGGTCTCTACTGCTACTTAGCGCACGTATTTCTTCGATCTCCTATTGTTCGGATTCAAATTATCGGAGGCTGCGACTTTTACGAAGTTTGTTTACGAGGATAGGACATATAAATGCGTTTCTATGTCCTTGTCCAGCGTCCTGCGCTATATTATCAGAATATTTACAGAAAATGAAAATCCAACGACCGCGAAACGCGTCCGTTTCAACATGGGATCATAATTCGTCGAAAGGAGGATGAAAAGGAAATGATCGAAACGAATCTTCGGATATTCGAGTTGACGAACTTACCGAGTCTCGATTATGTTTTACGTTAAAGCGAGATTGATAAGATAGTGTGAGTCCTTTGAGTGTGGGTGGAATACTCGATGTATTTAATTATTTATTTTATACAATGTTTCACGCCGGAGGTGGAGAAAAAACGTAAAGAATTTACCGTAGCGGCGTATAAGTAATCGTTAACGTTCGTTCCTAACGTAT